TATGAGTTTTTTGACTTTTTCCAAAAATTGAAAAAGATTTGAATCTAATAGTTGACTGGGTTAGCAGCATTGACTTTCTTGAAAGATAAAGAATTTGAATTGTTTTTTGAAATTTAAAAATTTCTAATTGTAAATATTTTTACACATCTTTTTGTATAATTATGATAATGACAATAAACAAACTGTGAAATAAGATGAGAAATGTGAAGAAATGAGATAAATAAAAATAAAATACTGTTAATTACACACTAAATCTTTATAACAGATTGAGGCTCATCTTAAAACAAGTTGAAGCCCATTGATTTGATTTAAATAAAATAGCATTAGGCCCATCACAGTAATCCCTTATACCCATGTTTTGAAAGCTTTTCAGTGAAGAAAGAATATTCAATCAACATTATTGAGGGGACAACCATGACACTTGTTGAATATCTACTAGACAGATTTGCTGCTCAATTTCATGTGAAATAGAACTTAGTTTCCAGGTTAGGTAATTGCATGAATGGGAGAAAAGAAACTCAGAAGTTTTTGTCATTTTTCTTTCACTTCACCCAATTCTATAGACACATTCTTTCTCCTCTGTCAGGGTAAAAGTTTGAAAATTTTGATGTCTCTCCATCCCTAGAGATAATTTTTGCAAAATGGAAACTCAGTAATGGTTAAGCAATTTTAATTAATTATTTTTAAAATCAAGTGATTTATACTTTTAGTTATTTATAATATGTAATCCATAACTTTCATCTTTTAATTTTTAATTAGTAATTTTAAATTTCCAATTTTATAAATTTAATACTTTTAGTCTCATCGTTAAATGTATATATTTATAACTTTAATTATGTTATATATATATGATATTAAATAAATGTTGTAACATCCGTAATTTTTCTACTAATATTACGGATAATTATTATTTATTTTTGTATTTATGAAGATTATTTCCTTATAATTATTTTGAGTAATTAAATGAGTTTGATTAAATTTTTAAAGGTTTTTAATAATAATTATTTATGAAAATTATTTTGTATAATATTATTAATTATGATATTTTGTTATAATTATTATTTGAAGAAAATCATGTTTTAAATTGTATTGATATTTTATTTTAATTTGATATATATATATATGTTATTTATTTATTTATTAATTAGTAATTCTGGATTTTCATAGCCCCGGAACGGGCTGTTCCACTTTAGGAACAGGCCGTTCCAACTTGAGCATGCATGGGTAAAATTTCAACCCAGAACGGGCCGTTCCACTTTGGGAACGGGCCATTCCGGATGTGGTCTATGGGCCTAGAACGGGCCGTTCCGGATTCGGAATGGACCGTTCTGGCCAAATTCTGATGCCTATAAATGCGTTCCGGCACTCTAGAAAAACGCATTTTTTCACTTTTGACTCTTTTTTTTCTACACTTTCTGGAGACCAAGGGGAACCCGGAGGAGGAGATTCTGCTTCAGTTTCAACCCCTGTTTATCGAGGTAAGGGGGGAGTGAGAAACCTCACTCTGGGTGTGGGATTGTATGATGGGTAGTGGGATTGGCCCCCAATCCTGTGTTTGTAGTATGTCATATTTTTCTTGTATGTTTCAATTAGTTAATTAATGTGTGTATGAATAGAAACTTTGTTTAGGCTATGATTGTGGAATTTGGTACTCCTATGGGTTCCTACGGGAAACCCGGCCCTAAGGGAGTGCATTGGTGCCAGTATGAGTAAATTAATTGTGATAATAATTATATACGTGAATTGTCTTATTTTAAATATTTATTGCATAAATTGGAATGTTCTATGGGTTCTTGAGAGAACCCTATAAGCAGCAGGCAAAATAAGAATATTTCTGTTTTACCTTCTGATTGTTTTGTTGTACTCCTTGCTGTATAAGATGTATAAATGTGTATTTAATTATGCAAATAGATGAGTTTTAATACGGAATAAAGTGCTATATGAAGATTGTGAATGAAATGTGATAATGAAATGTGATGATGAAATGTAATGACGAAATGTGATGATGCGATATGACCATGGGAAATGACAATGTGATATGAGAATGCATAGAGTCTTGATTGACATGCATCATTTGCATAAATGTTTTAAGGGTACGATATGGAATACACCGCCAGAGAATGCCCCCTAGTGTAAAAGCTTTGGGGATTAGTCCTTGGGGATAGCTTGGTTTGGAAGTCTCAGTCTCGCCCATTGTGTGCATGGGATGTATCTTGCGCGGCTTAGCTATCCCAACGAGACTCTGGTAGTATATCCTTCTAGTGAGAGTGCGCAGAGGATGTGACCTGACATGTACTCCTAGACTACTCTTCGTGTATTGCTAGCGGCAATATGCTATGTGATGTTTTACTTGCGCCACATGCATGATAATGTGAAGTCTGTGTCCATGCATGTGCATTCTTATTATTAAATGATGATAAATTACTATTTGTATGACTTGGATGATTGGATAAGATATTGTTGTTGATTAATCTATGAGGTAACTGTATTGTTTGTGTTTGGCTATCCGGTGTGCGTTCCTACACTGTGAGCCAGAGTGAGATGTTTCTCATTCCCTTCTTTTGTGTTGTTTCTCTTGTTTCATATACAGGAGACCATCAGCAACATGAGACTGAGGATGTGGACGATAGAGCTTAGGCTTCTATGTGGGATTTTGCTCTGATAGGACATATGACATCGGGACATAGATAGAATTAGAATATGATGTTGTTTATGTTTCATTAAAGTATATATTTTGGAAAAATTCAATTTTTATTCTTTGTACTTTTATTTTCTTTTTGGTTTAAGTACATGAATGTGAATTCTCTACTCACATGATCATTGGAATTGTCGTTTCAATTTTAAATATTTTTTTTATCCAATAAAATATTTCTTTTTATTATTATTATATATATATATATATATATATATATATGTTGGAGTAGAAGGTGTCCCAAATGTTATAATAAATAATATTTAAGTTAAGTTATATTTTTAATTCTTATTTTCATATAATAAAAGTAGTAAAATGATGAAAATATGGTAAAATTAAAATTAATGTTACAATTTTATAAGTAAATGAATGAGCATTAGATAAGAACCACAAATTTTATAAAATTAGAAGATAAAAATTATAGAATTAAAATTTGAAAGATCAAAATTACAAATTGAATATTATAGAGATCACTAGACTGAAAATGTAATTTATCTTTAAAATAGTTACTATAAATCCTATATATAAGACTTTTTTAAATATGTATACTCTCTTTATCTCAGGATAAATGTTGTGTAATGAGAAAAAATGAGTTCTAAAATAAATGTTATTTTAAACTTTTAATGTAATATTAATTTTTTTTCCAGTTATATCCCTAATATTTTTTTTTAGAAAGTTGTTGTTGTGTTTCATTTTTTTTATAGAAAGAAATATTAATAATGAGACTAATTTTATAAAGGTATTACTTTTTTCATCTATTTATTAGTTTTTATGCTCATTATGAGAGTGATATTAAATTTATCAATAATTTGAAATTTATTTTTTTAAAATTAATTTTGAAATTTATCATTTTTTATTTAATTATTTCTCATTTAATTAATTAATATTTAAAAATTACGTTCATACTAACAAGTCATTAGTTTGAGTGATACTAGACTTTATTTCTTTAAATAAAGTCCCATATTTAAACCTTGTGAATAAAAAAATATTATTAATAAAAAATATCTTAGTGATCAATCAAAATATTAATTATAAGTGAAACTGATAGATAACATAACTTTCATAATTTTTAATACAACTTTTCATAATTTTCTGACATTAAATAGATGAAAATTTTGTCTTTATACAATTTCTCGAATAAAATTTATGTGTAATAAGTTTCATAAACTAAAGGTACATACTTTCATGTGCATATATTATCTGATATGATTTTGTTTTTTAATTTAATCAATAATATTGAGATCAAGACTTGAAAATGTATGTCATAAATGGGAAGAGTTTTGCCAATTAACATCTTTATTCAATTTGAGTAAATTTGTCATCATAAATAATACATGTACTTGATACCAAAGGATAAATTAAGGAGGCATTTGGTATATAATATTTTTTTTTCATGTCTAAAATTCATAAGTACATTAAAAATCATGATTATGAGAATCTTGAAAATTTATTTTATTTATTATAAATATTTTCAAGAATATTTATATATAAATGTCATTTGGGAATCAAAGGATTATTTGCATACTAGTTTATATATTAAAAAATTTTAATTTAACAGTTGAATCATTAAATTTTGATTTAAAATGTAAATTATTGAGTAAATTAAGTTTATTACTTTTCATATAATATGTATAGTATATATTTTTTTATGAATAATATTTGATATTTTATTTTATTAATTTAAATTAATATATAATATATTTTTATGGATAATAACAAGTCATTTTGATACTTGTGGAAAAATTAAAGTAATTCATACACTAACTCAGTAGTGTTCTTTAATCACTAATAAATATTCTAAAATGCTAAACAGTCAGACTTTTCATTATATGCTCAATTTGTCTCATCTTATTCTCATTTCTTTTTCCAAATAACAAAAGGAAAACTATAAGATTGAAATGAGTAAAAAATTGACAAATAGTGTTAGTGTATAATTGCTATGTTTAGTGTGAGACTTGACTTATTTTTTAGTTCAACCATTAAAGTAAACTAAAATAGCTCTTAATATAAGTTATATATTTAATATAAAAAAAAACTATTAATAACTTGCTACTTTTCATTATCTAGACCTATACTAGAAAAAATAAAAACTAAAATAAAGATATGATATAAGTAAACAAGAAATACCAATAAATCGGATAATAAATCCATGGACATATGACCCGAATGAAAGGATCTTAGATTACTTAATTATGTGATTTTGGGTTAAATGTTAAAAACCAATGTATATGGAAAAACATAATATTAAAGTAGACATTGAGTTCAATTTTTTTATTTACCAAATGAGAAGAAATACTTGAGAAAATGATGGACAAGAAATTTCAAGCAAATGTTATAGAACCACTTGAAATATTGTGTTGACTACTATTATTCATGTACACACAAGCAATTTAATAATTCTCACCAAAAACAGTAAAAGTTATGATTTGATCATTTATACATGCAATGAGTGCTTGTGAATTTCTACAAGCACTTAACTTAGAAAAAAGACCATGAAGTTCATCTAAGATACACATCATTTGAAATATCTATTGGCTAGGGCCTTCTTCACTTGGGAAAATGTTGCTATGTTTATCCATAAGCATGTCATTGGAACCTCACAACTATGCAAGATATGTCATCTTTACTTTTCTTGGAAACGGCCTCTTCTATCAAGTGTTTTGCTGCAGCTTGAGCATCCTTTATTTGTCTAGTAGAATCCACTGCTTCTTGGTTTGACATAACCTGTAAATATCATGGCAAAATTTTTGTTAGTTATAATAAGGGGATTACTATTTACTACATAAAAGTAGAAAATGCAAAGCTCCATCAATGAGATTTGATAAATTGCTAAATTCCCACAACTCCCTACTAACTTTTCTATTTAGTAATGTCTCCTAAACTTATCAAGGAATGTTTGAACATGCATGCATATTCTAAGCTTGTATCATCTATAAAGGAAAAATTAGGATAAACAAAATTTTAAGGAAAAAAATACCTCCCCTCTATTTCTTATTATAAGACAATTTAAAAAAGAAATAATATTTTTTTAAGGTACTTCACAATATCTATAAAACCATTTTACAATATGCATAAAGTATTAATTTTATTTTCATCTTTTGAAACTTTTTATTTTTAATTTCTTAATTAATGTTTTTAGAGACTTGTTAGCAAATCTATGCTAGTCACATGTCTTTGGTTATAGTCAAACCTATTGCTTATTTCATTATGGTTGAAATGAAATAAATTCGTTCTTGTAGAAAAAAATGAGCGGTTGACTTTTATTATTCTTTTCCATTCAAATCTCAAGATTTAAGAATGCACTATACAAAATATTTCAACTAAGAAATAACTTTTAAACTAAAGAAATTATAAATCTAAATTTAAGATTCTTTTTTAACTACGGTGGCTTTTAATTATAGATAAATTTAAAAACACTACCAAAAAATATAATATAATGATGTGAAAAGAAAAAAAAATGATGAAAAAAAAGTTAACCTTCCATATTCCATCACTAGCCAGAATAAGAAACTCTGTATGTTGATCTACTTCCTCTACAAACACATCAGGTTCTGAACTAAGATGCATCTTCAGGCTCCTATCACCAAAAGCTCTTGCTACTGCCAATTGTCCATCTACTCGAGGGACATCTCCTGTAGAAACAGAAATTCAGATATTCCATATTACCAACTTAATTTTGTTCATAATTTCTCATCCAATTCTAATAAACCATCAAAATGAATGTATAATAGGTTATATAATATATTTTCAAAGCATGTCCTTCTAACTATGTTGCAGAAACCCTGAAAATCAAATGATTCTTAAGACTAAAGCATTTGGAAAAGAACTTATTTGAACATGTAAAAATCACTTATAACATGAATTCATTTTAATTTCTTTAAGTAAGCTTCACATGGAAGTTTATGAAAATAATAAACTTCACAATCAAACATAGAAATAAGAGAAAACGGTTGCTTTGATCTTGAAAGTGGGGAGCATTATTAGCCTATAAAATTAAGAAAATGTTGAATAAGTACCTAAATCCAACATTATAACACATGCACATGTTGTATTTTGTGTGTTTTAACACCTGAAAAACCAAAGGGTGTGGTTTACCTGGAATTTTTGATACAAAACCACCACGCCTCTCAATAGATTTTTTTTCCTTGCTTGGCTCATGATCTATGGATAGTTGTCTGGCTTTTCCATTCTCACAAATAACAGCTCTTGAGTCTCCAACATTTGCTACTACAAGCTTATGGCCATCAATCAGTATTGCAGTTACAGCTGTTGACCCTCCTCTCCCTAACTCAAGTGCTTGTTCCAATATATTTTCATCTGTTTCAAGATAAGCTCTCTTCACTGCGCTCTCTGTCTCACTCCAAAAGTCATGCTGCTTGCACCAAACATAAATATATTATATTACATTTTTAGTATAATATATAAAATATTCTTATTTGTGTTTTCAAATTTAAAATTACAATAATACAAAAGTAAATATAGTTTTTAAAATCCTCTCCTCCCCTTATGAACTACACAGGAAAAGAGCAGCTACTTGACTATCTCTTTGTTAAAGTATTTCAGTTCTTGTTAACCAAACAAATTTTTAATACATTCCAATCCCTCTTTGATCCAAATAGAGCCTTAAAGAACATGCCCTAATGAAGTAATAGGAAAGTCATCTTACCTGTTTCAAGATGTTTTGTAAAAGGTGGTTCTGCAAATAGCTTGCAACATCGTGGCCCAAGTGGCCATCAAATATAGCAAACAAGCCTAATTCTCTATCCTTTTCTTGCTTAAATTCCGAAACTAAATAATCTTCCATTGGATGCCCTGATTTTCCCTTCATCAAGTGAAAGCCATGTGTAATGCGTTTTGATATTTTCCCTTTTCCTTTCCCTGTGTCCGATGTTGATGTTCCAAATCCTGCTTTCACCTAGAAACATGGTTGAAGTAAATCTCCAATCTCAGTTTTGTGGAAGCTAGACCATGAAACTAATGCCATGTTTGAAAACAATCATATTTAAGGAAATAATCTTGTTTCTTCTTTTAAAAAAAAATCCCATTAACCAAAACATTTGAATTGCCATATTGAACACTGTCATGTACTCAAGTCATGCATTTGAGCATGAATTCGGATCATATCGTTTATGCGATCACTACTTTTAGATGCCATTAAAAACAGCTTTGATGAATCTCCATATGTTATCAATAACCACTTTCTATATTTGATACAATGCATTGAAAATTTTCTGAATTATGTTATAATATGAATCTCTCTATATATTCTTCTTAAGTAAACAAAAACAATTTAAATCTAAGTATATCAAGCATTGCTCATAAAACTAGTTGAAATAACAAACAGGTTGCATATCTTGCAAACAATCAATAACCTCAAGATAACTCCATAGTACTGCAAGAATTTGCATTTGCAAAAGCCACGATGAATCAACTAAAAACTACTCTAGTTGACAAATATGAAATATGGAAATTAATTTAGCATGCTTAATTTGCACATAGAAAAGAATTCAGGGTTTTTTTTTTCTACTTACCTTCATCATGTGGAGAATTTCTCTGCCAGTCATTACGTTTAATTACAAGGCTAGAAAGTTGTGTAAGGAGTTGTCCAGAGTTCAAGAGTTTTTAATAAAGAGAGAGAAAATGAGGATAAGTGTATAAATAAGGGAACTTTGACTTTTGAACACGTGACTCAACTTTTATTTTACAGCTCGTGTTCTTTGACAACTACGCGTTCTTGCCGACGTGATCCTATCTCTTTCGAATTTCTATTTCACATCATTTTACCATATTATGTTCCAAATATTCAACTTTCCCACTTGATCTTTGTTCCCATTTGTGTCGATGAAAAATTAGTGTTCCATGACAAAGAAGAAAATCTATATGTACGTGTGTCATTATGTTTTACCAAGTCACGATGAAATAGCAATTAATCTTGAGGCTAATAATAAAAGGTTGCGATCAAGTTGGTCGTTATGTGTGATAATATATTTGCCATTTTGATGTCAAGACATTTTTTTATTTTCTATTGGGTGATAAAAGGGGTTAAAAACTTCAACTATGTTATTATCTTTTATCTCGGAATGAATATGTACAAAGAAGGAAGCGTTTGGTAGATGTGAGACAATTTTATATTGAGAAGAGATAATTTTATTGAATTATTACACAGAGGTAGGGATGGCAACCGGGCGGGTCGGGTACGGGTTTTATGATACCCATCCTGTCCTTGCAACACAAACTCATCCCCGTATCCGTATCTGTATCTGTCGGGTATGTGATTTTCATCTTCATCCCCGTCTCCGTCAGGTATCGGGTATACTTGTACCCGTACTCATACTCGTAAAAAATTATTCTTTTTTTTTGCAAAAAAAATACAATATTTTTAAATTATTTTTCTATTGTATTATAATTATAATTAGATTATTCCTTTATCTCATATTTTAATCAAGAGATTTCTTAATAATTATATAACTATAAATATTTCACATTATATAAATAATTACACATAATAAAATATTAAATTTTTTAATATAATTAAATCGGGTACGGGTACGGGTACGGATACGAGGCGGGTATGTACCGTACCCAGTTTAATTTATCGAGTTTTATCCGTATCCATACTTAGTCAAATTAAATATTTTTCATCAAAATCAGGACCAATTCGAGGATTACTCATATATACAACCAATTCGAGGATTACTCATATATACAAGTTTATTTGCCATCCATTCAAAAAGATGGTTGTAACTTGTAAATAATTTACTTTGCATGATGGGATTATGTTATGCATGATTTGATGTGAATGCAACTGAGTCAATCAAGAGCAGCCACGGAATTTGGAATGAAGCAAAAAAGACAACTTTAATAAAGAAAAAGTAAATCACTGCTTTGTGATTAATTGATGTGCCTAAATTGAATAGTGAAATTGAGTAGACTGATTAATGCATGCAAATTCTATTATAAGGTTGCTTGTTATGGAGCCACTTTTTGCAATTGTATCGCATTGACCACGTTCACAATTCGCACTCTCATTAAACTAAAGTATTGGAGCATTACATTGATGAATAACTTCACATTTTATATATATATATATATATAAAAGCCACTAAATTATTTTATTATTTTACTCAATAACTTATATTCTATATCAAATTTTAATGATTGAATTATTAAGTATAAAATTTTAAATTTATAAATCAAATCTGTAAATTCTTAAGAAGTTTAAAAATTATATGATACTTTGTTATATAAATTCATATTGATGTATAAATTATTTTTATAATTATCCATCAATAATTGATGAGACGCAATATTAAATAATTTTTAAAATTTTTAAAAATTTACAAAATTGATGTATTCATTAAAAACTTTTGATTTAATACTTTGATCATTAAAATTTGATGTATAATATAAGTTATTGAGCGGAGTAAGTGTAAGTAAACTTACTCTTAAGAGACGTTTGATATGCGGAATATTTTTACATTTTAAGGAACGCGGGAATCTTAGTTTTTCATATTTGGTAGCTATTTTAAAAAATAAAAAGAGATATTTGCAGAATTATAGTTTCCCGATAATTATTTTTATCTTACTTTCCAACAAAATCATTCTCATAAAAGAGGTGAGAATCCAACTTTTTCGAATTAGGGAAAAAGTTTTATGTATATAAAAAGACCACAATATCCTTTTTTAAAACAAAAAAAAATATCTTTCTATCCTTCTATTTTTCTTTCCCTTTCTCTTTTCGTCACTCTCACCCTTACTCTCCCTTTCATTTCCTCTCTCCCTCTCTCTCTCCCTCTCCCTTTCTCTCTTTCTATTTCTCTTTCTCACTCTCTGTCCCTCTCTCTCTCTCTCTCTCTCTCTCTCTCTCTCTCTCTCTCTCTCTCTCTCTCTCTCTCTCTCTCTCTCTCTCTCTCTCTCTCTCTCTCTCTCTCTCTCTCTCTCTCTCTCTCTCTCTCTCTCTCTCTCTCTCTCTCTCTCTCTCTCTCTCTCTCTCTCTCTCTCTCTCTCTCTCTCTCTCTCTCTCTCTCTCTCTCTCTCTCTCTCTCTCTCTCTCTCTCTCTCTCTCTCTCTCTCTCTCTCTCTCTCTCTCTCTCTCTCTCTCTCTCTCTCTCTCTCTCTCTCTCTCTCTCTCTCTCTCTCTCTCTCTCTCTCTCTCTCTCTCTCTCTCTCTCTCTCTCTCTCTCTCTCTCTCTCTCTCTCTCTCTCTCTCTCTCTCTCTCTCTCTCTCTCTCTCTCTCTCTCTCTCTCTCTCTCTCTCTCTCTCTCTCTCTCTCTCTCTCTCTCTCTCTCTCTCTCTCTCTCTCTCTCTCTCTCTCTCTCTCTCTCTCTCTCTCTCTCTCTCTCTCTCTCTCTCTCTCTCTCTCTCTCTCTCTCTCTCTCTCTCTCTCTCTCTCTCTCTCTCTCTCTCTCTCTCTCTCTCTCTCTCTCTCTCTCTCTCTCTCTCTCTCTCTCTCTCTCTCTCTCTCTCTCTCTCTCTCTCTCTCTCTCTCTCTCTCTCTCTCTCTCTCTCTCTCTCTCTCTCTCTCTCTCTCTCTCTCTCTCTCTCTCTCTCTCTCTCTCTCTCTCTCTCTCTCTCTCTCTCTCTCAATTTTAATAATATTATTAAAATCTATTTTATTTCTACATTTTAATGATATTTGTTAACACTTTTTTATTTTTTTTATTTGAATGAAATAAAATAATATATTTTTATTCTTCTTTATTATAATGTAGTATTTTTTTATTTTTTTTGTTGAATTTTGTATTTAAATAATTTTAGTTTTTCAACTTTTTAAAATAATTTAATATCATATTTATAATAAGATTTAAGTAAATAAATATATATGATGAGTTTATTTTAATAAAGGATATTTTTGTAAAAAAATATTTATAAGCCAAAGAATGTACTATTGTAATCAAACATGAAAATCTTTAATTATTGGGAATCATGTATGAATAATCAAACATATTTTAACTATTCATAGGAATCATGATTTCTGTGTATAAAAAAAAAAAATTCCTGCATCAAACGCCCCCTTAAATAAGTCAATCTCTCCTCTATAAACACGTGCGCGAAAATTTTCACATCAATGGGTGGTTTTAGGTAAATAATTAATTAAGATCCTATTTAATAAGAGAAGGATTCAAATAATACTGGTATAACTTTTATTAAGTATTACACCGTTCAATAACTTTATATTAAATGTGAATTTTATAAATTCAACTATTAGATTGAAAGTTTTTTACTCTTATATCATATATATACAAAATTTTATATTAATCCAAGATGATTTGATACTTCATTCTTATAAAAAAAAATTGACGTAATATATACATTTCAAAATATAATAAAATATGAACATTTTGATTACCTTTAAGTTATTGTTTAATTTTAATAAAATTTGGTATAAACATATAAAGAGATATGAAATTATAATTCAATGGTTTGATTTACAAAATTCACATTTAATATAAAAGTATTGAATGATGTAATACTTAATAAAAGTTACACCGGTGTCATTTGAACTCTCATTGTTTAATAAATTGTTATATTTGGATATAAATGTTGAGAAATATTTATACAATTTTAAAGTATTTTAGATGTATTATTACTTAAGCACTAATAAGTTGTCTCATTTTAAATAAAATGACAAGTTAAACCTTTATTAGAAATAAAAAAAAAATTAAAGTAACTAAATTTTTTTTAAAAATGACATTCACATTAAATATCACAATAATAAAAAAAAATAGTAGTCATCTTTCACCTAATCTTAGTTTGATATCAATTATATATATATATATATATATATATATATATATATATATATATCAATTATATATATAACCATGATTATAAATTAAGAATCATAAATTTAAAAAATTCAAAATCAATTCCATATATTTATAAAATTGTGATTAAAAAAATTATAGTATAAATATCAATAATAAAATTATTCTAAATGTTATATTTTAGAAAAGAAAGTTACGAGAATTTTTTAGAACAAGGGAATGTGGATTTTGAGGAAAAGAGATTGAAAATATTTTGGAGGGGAAGACGAAAATAAATAAAGAGAAATGGAAATCTCTTGAGGAAGTAATAAAAAAGAAATAAAATTTTATTTTTAATGAAAGAATTAAAAAAAATAAAGACTAAATTATATTTTTAATTCCTCTATTTTAAAATAAAAATATTTAATCATTCTATTTTTAAAAATATATAATTTTGATCTTACATTTAATTTGATTTTTCATTCAGGGTTTCTGCTATTATGGCAGCTTTATCTTCTCCTTTGATGACTATCTGATAATTCAGGGGGAGGGGGTTGGACACTAGCCATTGGGTACTAAGATTAGCCTAATTATATATACATTTTTTTTATTTATTATTATTATTATCAGTACACCTCTTTTATTTTAAAAAAAATAATCCTAAAATATTTATAGTTTTTTTATTTTTAAAATTTTTAATTTTACATCTCTAACTTTTAATTCACTATTTTTTCTTTTTACACACATCTTTTTTTCTCTTTTATAGTTTTCACATATATCATCTTATCTTTCTCTAATTCCTCACCTATTTCAGTCAGTAGTTTTAGTTCTTTTGATTTTTATATTACTTTCTTATTTTCTCAACTCTTTCACTTTTTCACATGCACCACAATCATAGAACTAGTAGGCAACAATATTGTAGATACGTGTAGTTTCGTCGACAATTTCTATCAAATTAGACACACATTTTTTCTTCCAACACTTCTTTTCTTTCCACCCTTCCAAAAACCTTAACATTAAGTTTAGTGTTATGAAAAAGACATTTTTACTATTCTAGAGTACTATACAGATAGTAAAATTAGTAAGAAAACTGAAAGAAAAAGAGAGAAAAAATAATGTAAAATTAAAAAAATTAAAATTATCTGTCAAAATAGATGGAGGTGAAGAAAAATTAAGGGGTGCATGTGAAAATAAGAAAAATAGATATGTAAAAAAAAAGTGTTAAATTAAATGTTAAGAATATAAAGTAAAAAAATAAATAAATAAATAAAAATTAAGAATATTTTAAAATTTTAATTCTTTTTTTTTTAAAGGGGATGTACTTATTAAAAAAAAGGAAGTGTATATATCATGATCCTTAAGATTATAGTAAACAAATTAGAGTTAGCAAAATTAAACCAATAGGCCCAAATGCTTTGTTTTTTCTTTCTCTTTTTTTTTGGGTTTAATTTGATGGGCTTAATTAAGATAAAATTTATTTTTACTTTTCTTTATTTTTAATTATTATAGTTCAGAAAAATTAATATAATGCTTTAAGGATAAGAATTTTTTCCCTCGACTTCTTATTCTATGTTTGGTTTAATAACTGTGAATTTTTATTATTAAAAATGATTAATGCATAAATTTAAGTTATTTTTTTAATATATATTATTAATTTTTATTTTATATATAATATATATACTAATATATAAAGAGAATACTCTTTTTGGTAGTCATTTTGATTTTTACTTTTTTTTGACCATTATATCTTTTTATTTTTTTAAAAAAAAATTTATTTTTTAATCAAATTTAAAAACTTGAAACTAATGAATTAATCATAATATTAATTAAATCAACATACTTTTATAATTTTATTTTTATTTTTATTTTATTTTTAATAGAGGCACGAAGTACCTCGACTTTATTAGTTATAGTAAAGGTCATTTAACAATAACACTTTTAGAATTGACTATTCTACTTTACTATCCAAAATCGATAACTATATATGATATAGTTAAGTTTAATTATATTAGAAAATATTATATTTTATTAAATACAATACTTATTAAATTTAACAAATATAAAATATTGAATTTAGCAAACTTGAAGCATCAAACATTACAAAATGCAAACTTAAAACATTCAATAATACAAATTTTTCTGTCAACATTATAAAGTACCAACTTAAAAATTTAATATTACAAATTTAAGAAAATCGAACATCATTAAATTAAAAAATTATATATGTCATCTAAGTAGGGGTTCATTAGATGAAGACATGGTTGTTTTCTCAAAGGCTCCTATATTGCTTGAGAGGCTGTTTCTAATTGATTCGATTGGAGTTCCCTTTTTGAGGGGTTAGGAGTTACTGTTTTGTTATGTTAGTTAGTTTTTGCTTCTTTTTACTGTTTCTTTTCTCATTATGTACCCAAAAGGAAAAATTAAATGTGTCATACTCAACGGAATTTGTGAGGTGTCAAGTCAACATCACAAAGCTCAAACTTCACAACCCAAACTTAATAATAGGAATATATGATATTTATTTAATCAAATATATCAATTTGCTTCAGGTCAAAATCTGACTGAATCAAATTGATTGAGTGCGTGTTTGGATTCTCGTTGATGATTCATATTTTAACAATTTTTTATGTTAAAACGCATCAAAAGTAATAAATAATTACTTCTCTGATCTACGTTTAAGGTTTGTAGATGAGAATCTAAACACGCACTGAATTTTTAATTTTATAATTTAAATCAATCCAAATTTTTTCTTTTTATTTAATTAGGACTTATCGTATCATTGAATTGATTCAAACCATAACCACTCCTACTAGTAATGATAATACTACTACCATTATTATTATAATGATAATAATAATAATTATTATTATTATTATGATTATTATGCTAAAATTGTAACCCTTTAAAATGTTGTTTAACTACTATAAAATCTAACTTATTTTAACAATTAAGCTTTAAGGTTGTTTTAATTAAAGAGGAATGTCAACTACATATTTTCTAATAATTCCTCTTAACATAAACCTCTTAACATACACCTTAATACTATTAGTCAAAATTCATTAAAACCTATAAAATTATAATAAAAATTCATTAAAAATGAGTTAAGACCCTCGTAGAAAGTTATAATTTCATTAATTTAAAAAGAGTTTATTCAAAAAAAAAAAATCTTAAAGAAAATGTTTCACTAGCATTTTTTTTAACCTAAATATAATATGTGGTAGGTCATAGGTACAAAAGCACCTGAAATCACTTATTTCATGAATGTTGCTTGTTTTCAAAGGTTATGTTTATGATAGATAAGGTATGAAATGGTTTTCTATAATGATATTTGGTACGGACTGTGTAGGAGGCTAAGAATGATATGTTGTTTAAAAAGTAAACAAGTAAATTTGTTAGATATTGGGTCTGATTATTTAAACTTTTTTTTTTCTTAAAGTGCTTTTTTTAATAAAATAAACATTTTTCTTTTATTTTTTGATGTGTTTGTCTAAACTTCTTTTTTCAAAATAAGCAGTTTTCTACTTTTAAACAAAATAACTCTTATATGTTTCTTTAACAATTGTTTTTTTTTTAAATCACTTGTTTATAAACACTTATTTTAAATTTAAACAATAGACGCATTGTAAATTCAGCAAAGATTAAAGCTTGAAATTGGTTGAGGACAAAAAGAAAGGGATTGGTTCACTCAATTGATTTTTGAATCTTGAATTTGTTGATGATTGGTTAAATGGATTTGTTGAAGGTGAAAAAGAGATTGGTGAGTGATGACATGATGTGGTGAATATGAGTACTACACTTACATGGACTCTTGATTTTGAATGTCTTGGATCTATATCATTAGATAACACTTTCATGTTTTAAGGCATGTCTTTAACATTTAGATGTGTTTCAAAACTTGTGATTTTTGCTACTACAAAATCTTTGTATTTTTTTTTATTATATTTTTTACAGGTACATCTTGTACTCTATTGAGTATAATTTAATAAAAAAAAAATATTTTGCTCTTAAGAAAAATAAAAGTACATAAAATAATTTAACTTATTTTTATCCTAAAACAAAACTATTTTTGAAATTTTAATACAATTGGATTTCTTCATGATTAACAACTCAAACTTTTTTTTTTGTGAAGATAGAAAAGATTACAAAGATAGTCGCAATGAGGATTGAACCTAGGTCCTTATGCTTCTAACTATCCCGACCTCTCCCCAACCAAACTTAATTGCATAGCACACGTCTTTGATGGGTTTATTTTATGCAAACAAGTTATTATATTTCAAATTTAAAAAAAAATGAGAATTTAATTTATATCCCAATTTAAATATCATTAATTAATTAAAAATCATTTTAAGTTTACATGTCCATATGTAATTGTACAACATTTCCCATTACACTGTAAGTACATTTTGATTAAATTACATTTATATTACTTTATTAATAATTAATTTTCACAGAAATAAAAAGAAATTCAAACCCATAATTTGCCTGTTCAGTCCACACTAGGCATTTTATTTATCTTCTTTTTTTTTTTGTCACTGAAAATGCAACGAATGAGAATCTGCTCAAAACGCAACGTTTGAGAGGCCATGTCTTGATGAGAAATAGCCGTTAAGACTTAAGAGTCGAGAAGACAATAATAATAAAGTTCAAAAAATTCGGACCGTTAGAGAAGTGACCGTTACAGTGTTATTACAGTCTCCCTCTCCCTCGCTCCTTTCGTTTCCTTTCCCAGTAACAAGTAACAACACACAACACACAACACACGCTCTCTTATTAATCACTCCTTAATTTCCCGAAAGAAACCCTAATCGGAACCCCAAATGGCTCTGACGGAGGAAACCGCCGGCGCCACCACTGTCATCGACCAGACCTACGAATTCTCTGCGCCGCGATTCTTCGATTTCGTCAAAGGCGAGTCCGACGAGGATGCCAATAAGGCCGAACTCTGGTTCGATACGGCTCTCTCCTACGCTCCTTCGCGTATGTTTGTTCTGTTCCTCTTCTCTCTCATTCTTCCTCGCTCTACGTTAATCGCTTATTTTCCATTCTAAGTGATGATGATGATGATAATGATAATTGATAAGGTTTTTAGGATTAGGGATTAGAATCGACGGAAGTTAGGGTTCCGTTCTTTGGACGGAAGTTGTGATTCGTAGGTCGAGTTTATTGATCGGCAATTTTGGCGGAGTGGAATGTTGAAATGGAGAGGAGGAAATTAGGTTTTCTTATTGGTTTTGCATATCAATGTGGAATCGCGTTTTGTATCTAGCGGAGAAATGAATTCGCTGTTCTGTTAGATGAAACAGTTGATGCTATTATGGTGTGAATGCGAATGCTTCTTTCGTGCGTCATTTCATTTTGTCATAAACTATATGGCGAGGTTGCTCTGCTTTCAATTGCTTCTCAGGTTTTAGTAGCGAGTGGTTCTGTGCTATTGACTTAAGCTGATGTTTTTCGATCTCAGCTTTGTTTCAAACTCTGTAATTTATTTTATTGGAAATTGAAATTCAACTCTTTCACTCTGCGCCTTGTTTTTGTATGTTGTGAATGGCGAATGTATAATGGCTCTCAGCCTAAACTCTGATTTTTTTTTTCTTTCTAGATGTTGTCTCAGAGAGTGATGAAAGTAGCTTGAGAGACAGTTTTGTATTTTGTATGAAAGAATTACTCGGTTGAGTTTTTTTTGGGTTTTCAAATTGTTGTTGCAGCATTCATGCCTAAAATCAAGACTGCAAGATCTATTACTGTAGATAGCTTGTGTGATTTTAGTGAGGATGACAAAATGCAGAAGGTACACAGTCACTTCAATTTTGGTGATATAGATGTACTTTCATTTTGACTCCTTTATCTGAGTATCTGTTGTTTTACCAGATGTTAGCTAGTGTTTATGATAATGCTCAGGAAACCAATACACAACCACAGAGCATAACTACCAAAACAGAGGAAGGCCAAGCAGACAAAATGCTGAAGGTACTTTTGCTTCAATTTTGATGACAAATATATACTTTTAAATTTGGTTCCTTTGACTGATCATAGACTTTTTACTAGACGTCGGCAAATGTTGATAATGAAGTTCTGGAAACCAATATAAAACCACAGTGCGTAGCTACTGTAAAGGAAGATGAAGCTGACAAAATGCAGAAGGTACTTTTGCTTCAATTTTGATGATAAATATGCACTTTTATGAATTGGCTCCTTTGACTGATTATTATATATTATTTTACTAGGTGTCAGCAATTGTTGATGATAAAGTTCTGGAAACCAATATAAAATCAGTGTGTGTGGCTACTGTAAAGGACGATGGTGCACCTTGCCCAGGTAGTGCATGCTTAAAGGTTGCGTCATCTGTTGAAGTAGCAAAAGATGCTTGCACACCAAAACCAGCATTGCAGAAAAAAGTCACCACATCCACTAATTCCAAGAAGGCACAGAATAAGAAGAAGATAGCCACGAATACAAAACCTCAATTAAAGTCAGAAGCCGTGAAGAGCATTGCTGGAACTCCTCACTTGGCCCAAGATAATCAAGCTATTAAGCGGCAAAAATTGGAAGGAGGAAAATCTAGACAGGTAGTTTTTATTTTCATTGTTTAAAGTTATTTTTTTTATGTCTTGAAATATATTCTTATTTTGTTTTTGACTTTCAGATTCTGAATGTCAAACATCAAACTTTGCCCCATAACAAGTCAAGATTGGGGTTAACCGCGTCTTCAAGCACTAGTAAACCTCACAAAGAGGACAGAAAGGTTTGTTTTGTCCCATTAATTTTCATACATTAAATCCAATCATTCTGTTTCAAATTTTTAGCTATTTTTTTTACTTAATTTATTGAATTGTTTATTTAAAGGTTTATGTTCGTGAAACACCAACAACACCAGCCTCTGTACCATTTGTATCAATGGCCCAAATGATGAAAAGATTTCAATCTAGTACCAGAGACCTGTCATTGCCCGGGGTTGTTTCTCATGTAATGTGGATCCAACTTTCCTTCTCCCACTTCATCTTTTATTTATGTTCAAATAATTTTTTACTTAATATTCATAACAGTGTGCTTCTTTGATCCAGACAAAACCAAAACTTACATTGACTAGGCCTAAGGAGCCTGAATTTGAGACAAATCAGCGGATTCGCCCAGCTAGGGTGAAGAGTAGTGCTGAGCTTGAGGAAGAAATGATGGCTAAAATTCCAAAATTCAAGGCTCGACCATTGAATAAGAAGGTACTATTTCGTTCTTCTTTTCTCCTATCTGATTGTTTTTCTATTTGTGTGTAGATTTATGTGTTTTTTTTTCTTTTCTGTTATTGTAGATTTTGCAAACTACAACTTTGCCTCCCATTCCAAGAAGTACACCGCAGCCACCAGAATTTAAGGTAAACCATCACCGAAGATTGAATTGCGAATTATACACATTCATGCATACATATATACGTATTTTGAATTGTTGACATTATTCATTTTCTTCAGGAATTTCGTCTAGAAACTTCGGCCAGGGCCCATCAGAATGCAGATACAGCTTCAATAGCTTCGACAGAGGTGTCTCGTAAGGTATCTTTTAGAAACTACTAAATCAACTATTCATTATTCACTTCGATCTATTACTCACTCCTTTTTCTTGGAACAGGAGAATTCATGGAAGCCTCATCATCTTACAGAACCAAAAACACCTCTACTCCAAACCTCACTAAGAGCCCGCCCACCCACGGTGAAAAGCTCATTAGAATTAGAGCAGGAGGAGCTTGAAAAGATCCCTAAATTCAAGGCAAGACCTCTAAATAAGAAGGTAATAGTGCCAGCTGATCTACGTTTACCCAATTCTAAGAATTTTATTCTATCATTTAAATTAAATAACCGAATTTCATTCTTATTTCAGATCTTTGAGAGTAAAGGAGATATTGGAATGTTTTGCCATACCAAGAAACATGTCACTGAACCTCAGGAATTTCACTTTGCCACAAATGAAAGGATTCCACCACCTGCTGCCGTGGCTGATTTGTTTGCCAAGGTAGTATGGAATGAAGTATCTGCTCACAAACAAGATTCAGTAATATAATATATAATATATAATATAAAAAGATTGTAAATACTGTAATCTTTTTTTCTGGTGATCTAGAATGTAATCATTTATTTTTCTGGTCGCAGCTTTCTTTGAAGTCTGAACCTGCCCACAAACCAATTCCAAGAAACACGACTCCAAATCCATTTCATCTCCACACAGAGGTTCGTTACTTTTCTTTAGTTTCTTTAGTTGAAGAGGTTAATGGAACTTCTATTTACCAACATTCTTAACCACGACAGGAAAGAGGTGCCGAAAAAGAGAAGAAACTGGTCATGGAACTTCTGCAGAAGCAGTTGGATGAGGAAAATGCAAGGATTCCCAAGGCTAATCCATACCCTTATACCACCGATTACCCTGTGGTACATAATTTTGTCAATTGGAAGGTTCTTTCATCTATTTGGTAATTTAAAAAATTATTAAAGTTACTGGTATTTTTGACCAATCCATATGCAGATCCCACCTAAACCAGAACCAAAGCAATGCACAAGACCAGAGCCATTCCAATTAGAGAGCCTGGTGAGACATGAGGAAGAAATGCAAAAGGAACAGGAAGAAAGACGTAGAATGGAACAAGAAGAGGCCCAGATGAGAGAGTTTAAGGCACAACCAATCTTGAAAGAGTGAGCAACAACAATCAAGACTTTTTTTTTTTTTTTAATATTTCCAATGTATGTTAGATGAAAAGCTACAAGTAAACTAATTTACTTTTTTTCTTGGATGTTATTAAATCAGGGATCCAATCCCCGTTCCAGAGAAGGTACGCAAACCTCTCACGCAAGTTCAGGAATTCAGTTTACATGTGAATCATCGAGCTGTGGATAGAGCACAATTTGATGAAAGGGTAATGAAAAATTCCATATCTGTTTATTATTGTTGAAAAGAAAATTCAGAAAAGTATTTATAATTTTAGCAGTACTCAAATAATTTGCTTTGTACAGATTAAGGAAAAAGAAATGATGTACAAACGATACAGAGAGGAGAGTGAAGCAGCACAAATGGTATGTTACAAACATTTACTGTCTGCAATATGTTAGTGACCTGAGGAAAATTTTGTAGCATGTTGACACTAATATATTATTGCAAACATGAACATCATGCAGATTGAAGAAGAAAAGGCATTGAAACAGTTGAGAAGGACACTGGTTCCTCAGGCTAGACCAGTTCCAAGTTTTGATCGTCCGTTTTGTCCCCAAAAGTATGCTTTTGATTGCTTTATTATATTTTGGATTAAATATGATTTTATTTCCTAAACTTCAGTTAATTTTTGTTTTTAGTCCTTACAAGTTTTCTCCATGAACAATTTTTTTTTATTTATATTCACACCATTTGCTTTTTTTAGGTCTTCGAAGGACACAACGAAACCCAAGTCGCCAAATTTACGTGTGCTCCAAAGAAGAAAGGAAAGACGAAAGGTGTTCAACGGAACCGCAGTCTCAAGTCCTGCATCTAACATGAGATGATGCAGTTCCAACTTTCTGTTATCAGTCAGTGTTCAAGAACTCTTGAATCCTCTCTAGGTGTTGTGTCTGTGTAATACTACTACTCAGCTCGTGTTCGTTATCAAATCTCAATTCTTTCATGTATATTTTTCTGAAACAAGTTAATGGCCTATGTATTATTACTTTAAGCCATACAGCGTGATGTTACCATTAATAGTCCTATTTTTCCAGTAGATTAATAATTCTAATTAAATTTTGGAATTCCTCTCAAAGTGGTGTTGCTCTCCATGTATTCTTATTTTATCACAATTTCACTTTTTCTTTTCTTCTTTATTTTGCATTCTATTTTTATCTTTTCATTTCGTGTTACCTAAAAATGGTTACTATCAGGATTTATAACTATTTTCGGGGGAAACGGGTTTCATAAATACTTACATTTTTACAGTAGGTGTAATTTTTTTTATTTTTTTTTTTATATTTTATCATAAATACCGAATAGTGTTTTTCGATAGTTAAGCATGACCTAAAATTAAATTCAAATTGAAAATGTAACAAATTTTAGAATATAAATTCCCCAAACAATCAACCACATGAACATTTTTATATCATTTTTTTTTTATTAAAATCTGACAAATGAATATCAAAATAATAAAATTACAAGGTCGCTACGTACATGACTACATAATTGTGAATAACAATTTTATTTATCATTGTTTCATGATTTGAATGTCAACTTGACAACTTAATTTTATACAAACTCATGTATTCCTTTTATTATACATCAAGAACATTAAAAAATAGAATATTTTTTAAGCAATCAATTTTTTTATCAAAAATATAAATAGATTCTTTAATGATAGTTTATTTATTTTCCCCTGAAATAAAATTTATAAATATGTTAGCTTTAATATTACGAGTTTGTGTAGGAAAAAAAAAACAACTACAAGAATATTTCTATTATGTTAAATAGTATTTTTAGTTTGAATAAAATTGATTAAACTTAGTATGATTGAATATTATAATCATAATTAATTATTATTAAATTATATTAGACATCATCAAGCTAATTTATATGATAAAAATTGTGCATTATAAAATTAAATAAAGTTGTCTTCAATAGAAAATAAATTTAGTTTGATTTTTTTATCATTTAAAAGTGTACAACAAAAGAAATAAACAAGAAAGTCCTAATAATAAAAGCAATTTATATGACATTTGTCATCAATAACTAGGAAAGACTATCTTAATGTAGCCATCACTTCGTGGAGACCATGATATGCCCATAATAAAGGAGAAATCACTTTTCTTGACCATGATATGTACCCAAGTTTTTAGTATGACCAAAATTAATGATACAAGAAAATTGTGACAGCTTTCTACAAGGAACATTCCTAGAGGCCAAGAACTTGGATTTCTGAATACTTATTTTCAAACTTTGGGCCATTGTCAGAAATCTTCGTGGGAAGCCATTCTTCAATAGAAAGTTTTTCTTATATCATGAGAGCCAACTTTTCCATGCAAAATAAGAAGAGGTATGGTGACATTGGATCACCTTGTCTGATGTCTCAAGCCTCATCTCGGAAGGAAGCTATCAAGAACCTCATTGTTCCATTTCAGAGACAAACTTGTGGCAGTGTACAATTCAACATGAGCTTGATGGTTTGTTCAGGAAAGCCAAATTCTGTAAGTGCTTTCCTTAAGAAGTTCCAATCCACCCTGCCATATGCATTCTCAAAATCTATTTTAAAAAGAAAGTATCCACTTTAAAGTCTATTTTAGTTTGATTGAATATTATAATTATAATTAGTTATTATTAAATTATATTAGACATAAATTTAATTTATATAATAAATATTTTGTATTATATGGACAACTGTAAATATATATGAAATGTTATCAGTTATAAATTTTAAAAAAATATTTGAGGAAAAATATTTATTCTAAATAAAATATTATGATTAAAATATAAAAATATATGTATTTATTTTTTAATTTATTATTTTTATAATGATTTGTAAATATTTTATTATAACTAATATTGACTGAATAAATTCATGCAGTATTAATAAAAGATATTTATTTATCTATATAAAGGAAACGATGTTAATGTGCATAAAATTTGAATCACATGGGTTAATATATTTTTTACTTTGTTAAATACTATGCCATTATGCTTTAGATGAACCAAGAAAACAGCAAGATCAAAAATAACAAAAAGTTATCAGAGATTAAAAGTAGATAGTTTGCAGGAAATTAAAACACATATAAGCCTTAGTTATTTTATAAATTAATTACTAGATTTAAATTTATTTAAATTATTCTATTACAAGCATTGGACTTGCGTTTTGTTTTGTAATTAATGTCTTTATGTTGACTTTAAATTTAGTCATGTATATATTAAGAGATGAAATAATATTTCAAAAGTTAAATATGTTTTTAGTTCCTCAAATTTAATATAAATTATTTTTACTCTTAAATTTAAAATTAAATTTTTTTAGTTCTTGCAATTTCAAAAAAAAAAATATTTGTCTATACACTCAAATTTTGTTAAAAAATTTATCAAATACTGTCACTTAAAATCTATATATTAGTATTCCTATCAATAAAAATATTACATTAAACTCAGTTGATGTGGTATGACTATCTAAATCTATCAGTATTAAATATGTTATTACTGATCCGAGAAATTAAAATAAAACTTTTAAAAATTATTAGGACTAAAACCAACAACTTTAAATTTAAGAGATCAAAAATAAATTTATTTTAAATTTAAATGGCTAAAAACATTTAACTCCATTAGGTGTCATTAATTAATGTGATACATATGTGATTCCTCTTAAAGATATGTAAGGCAGGCCTCCCTTGCTTGGTGATTCTCTAATATTATTTTGGATCTGTCTATTTTGTAGCTATAAAGAGAATTTGATCCTATTTTGGGTAAAATAAAATATTTATTGAGATGATACATAAATTTGATGGTATATATACATTTTGGACGAGTGTGTTATTTTCGAAATGCTGAAATTATAAATGAAACTTAGCCACATTTTCTATAAATTCAAAAGTATTTAATTTGAGAAGTTATTTTGCTAAACCTGCTATCATGTTCGTTAGGCTTGTTAGGTTACTGGTATGTAGTTAAATTAACCTGTGTACTGATCATGAGTTGGATTTTAGATCATGACAAGAGTACGAAAATGAGTACCAGAGTTGTCACCTACACAAATATGAACATGAAAATAAGAGTAGTGGTTTTTTTTAGGACATTTGTGTAAAAATAAGTATTATAGTGTCCTCCTTAAACAATACCCATGATTTTTCCTAATTGCGTGTACTTTTTAATTTCATTGCATCACAAATAGGACTTATGTATTGAAGATTCATCTTATTTAACTATAACTCATTAGAAACACTTATGAAAGCTTCTCTATTAAAAAATATTATTTATTTTCAGTATAAAAAAAAACTCAAAAATACTTCTAATTTGTCCAAACAAACTCTATAATTATTTTATTGAAAATGGTCTTATTTGAGGAATAAGTCCGGCATTGATAAATTAATAATGGTTGGTAGAAAATAAAATTTTGGGAGTTGTACCACTGAACATAATCACATATAAGACCTATGTGCACAGTGCTTGATAGTTTATTAGAATTGATTAAGTTGGAATAACTCCAACACTGCCAATTGATCCAGTATTTGGGGCTAGATAGTTTAAGCGTGATTGAAAATAAATAAATAAAAATAAAAACTACTAAATTTTATAAGGTACAGCACAGCCCAAAGTACCAAACTTGTGCAAGTTGAAACAAACTCGTATATGAATAACCTTTGGGGAGGTTCATGTTACTACAATAGTTTTTTAGTTGAAAATTTTCCTGTGTACATATAGAATATGTCCTAACATCAATAAATATCAAAACTGTCTATTAACTTTTCGGGAGGTTCATATTACTTAACTATATATAGTTTTGTAGTTGATATTTTTCCTATGTAGGTACAGAATAAGTCCTGGTATTCATAAATCTCAAAACTGTATATAATGCTCTCATTCCTTCCGCCTGTATGCCAGAATCTGAACCAGCGGAAAAAAAGGATTAAATATAGTCAATACTGGAAGAATCAATAATATTGTGAAAAAAAACGCTTCTTGATACTCACCAAATGCTCCCTTTTAGAAATGGATTTTAATTTAAGCCCTGCCAAAGATTCATGACCTTGCAAAGTTTCCAGTTCATCTTTGCTAGGATCTATAACAAGCGTAGTTAGCTCATCAGAGGATGAAGTCTCATCAGATGACTTGTCACAAACTGCACTGCAGCATCCTTTAACTGCCAATATCTCAACTTCTTCAACTAGCAAAGGAATCTGACGAGCAACATACTATGCAGAAAAGAAAATTCATAAAAATATTATAAAATAATCAACAGGCTTAAAATTGGTTCGTCCACCAAAAAATATCATGCAATCATCCTCATCAATAAGAGCAATAGGAAAGTAAAAGTTTGTTATACATATTAATAAAGCATTCTTTCATTGCCTTAATATCAACAACTTAAGCTGGAATACGTGAACCAATATAGTCGGGTATTGATGTCACAACATTGATAAAATTGACTTGACCACAAATTACCATTTGCCAAAAACAAGTGGTTAAAGAGAGAATCTCACTTCACAAAGGTGCTTCACGGACAATGTTGGCCGACAGCAAAGGTGTGGCTGCTGCAAGCTTGGTGTACTTTCTTTGTCCAAAGACAAAAGAATGAGATGGACATCTAACTGCAGAGATGAATATAGCATATCTATAAATTAAACTGAACTGAAACTGGAATAATTCATCGTTAAAGAAGCGTTCAGAGGTATACCTCATCAGTGTTTTCATTCAAGTTACGGAGATAATCAACTAACTTAGCCAAGCGAATACTGCGGGAACTTTTGCTATTGCTACCATTGCCACTGCCATGACGTGTGTGACTCCTAAAGCCACCCCTTCCCCAAGTTAGCTTTTGCGGTTTTGACATCTGTCTAGAAGAAATTCCTCGATTTTCTCGACTTATATCCATATCACTTTCTATGCATCCACCATCAGGACTTGCTGTCGATGATGAGGGCTGAGAAGGGCGTCCTCTGGTCCGCCTTTTTCGCCTTCTCTGCCTGAGTTCTGTACATCGCTCATCTGTGGAAGATGAGTCCTTTTCATTATTGTCATTTTCCTCCTCGTTATCTTCAGAACCTTGATTATCAATCATTTGGTTTTGTCTCCTAGAAAGAATATTTCTTTGATTGCGCTGTGATCTTGTCAGATACGAACCAGGTGTACGTCTCTTAACCAGTGCTTCAGATTGTCTTTGAACAACTTTTGCAATTGAAGCCTGAATCTGTCAAAAAAGCTATTACATTACAAACCAGGAAAAGAAGCACTCTTGAACATGCTAAGATCTGATAATATAGAGAATGTTGACCGCTGATAAAATTCAAAATAATAAGGATAAGAAGTAAGCAAATATAAATTGATGGGAATTTAGGGGCTGGCTAGCCACACAGATATTTAACAAATCAGCTTTTAAGAAAATAGAAAAGGTCATCAACGCCTGCTATATGAACCTTCCCCATAAAAAAGTTATGATTTGAGCCTTCGTAACCCAGGAGTGTGACACAGTCAATAACGCATTCCTGATGGAACCTTCCTTACTGGCGTGACTATTATACACAAGATACATCTGAAAGTTGAAGCATACTTAAAAATGTTTACTCAATAAATATTCACCAGCTTATTGCGGTTCTTGTCCTCTTCACGAAATTCAAGCTCCTGCAGCAAGTGTATGGTATCCGTAGTTAAATATTGTGAAAGTTTATGTAAGCTCAGTTAAATATTAAAGTAAAAAAAGTGAACTTGTACCTCTTCCTCATATTTCTCAATATCCGGATACAGAGCTGCAATTAGGGCATCATAGTTTGGATCGTCTCTCAAAGAACGACGACTGGCACAGTGTGTGCGACAAGCAGGACATTCATTGTTCCTGAGATTACATATAAACGATAAATCTAGCTGCGTATAGACATTACAAGTTTACAACTACGTTTTTTCTGGTAAGCACAAAAATGCAAGATGAAGACCAAGGTTACAACTATCAGGAGCATATTGGTTAAATAAAAGAAAAAAGTCTAGCATAGCTTCTGTAACCTACCCTAGTCGCATCGACTTGTCAATACATTCCCTGCAAAATCGGTGCAAGCATTCCATAACAGTTCGTGTTTTCTTAATAATACCTGTTTGAGTAAGCATCAGAAACACTTGGTTATATCTTCACCAATAGGATGTTCATTAAAACTCAAGCATAATATGAGTTGCAGATTAAACAAAAAATCCTTCAATGATAAAATCCAGCACTACCAAGTAAAACCATTACTAAGATTATAGACACCGAAAGCAATGGGCAATCACATTATGGTTGACATACAAACACCTGATCTACGGTGAAAAAATAAATCAAATTTCATACATCAAACAAACTAGTACTCCCAGTTTATATAAATGAGTTTCCAATTTTTGACCTATTCAGGTAATATCGAGATCTTGAATCTTTTGGAACTTTTATTTTGAAAACACGATTCAACACAGCAATATGCATTACAAAAGATAGGTGTAATCACAATTAAGAGCTAATTTAATCACTCAAAGTCATAAACTTAAGCTGCTGCAATGATAATCATTCTTTTATATTTTATGCAACAAATTTAAAGTTTCAGGTTTCAACACTGCTCCAAAGCCTTGATGCACAGCAAATATTCTGAGGTCGTATGAGATCCTTTCTTGTGTTTTGAAGCTCCCATTGAAATTAGCACACATCTATGTAAGGTTGTCAATCTCAAAATTTTATGTAATTTCGTTGAGGTGCCGTAAACTCGAATCTTAAACTCATAAGAGTTTATTTAATATAAAAAAATAATGTTATAATACTTATAAATAACATAATAACTCAACATTTCAACCCCATATTAAAGTAAAATAGAAAATTACAATATTAAAATAGCAATGTTTAATAGCAAATCATGCAGAATTTCACACAAGACACAAATTCTTAAAATGACAACAAAAAAAAACTAAGACTAATTTTTACTTTTAGCAACAGAGGAGGTGAGATTGCTTGAGATTGCTCAAAATTGGACAAGATTACTCAAAAACGAGTTTGCTTCCGAGTTATATAGGTGGAGCTGACCAATCTCGTAAACTCAGTAGTTATTATGAATTATCACTCAAGATTGACAACCATGCATCTATGAATTGAACTTATGAATCACCTAGCACAGTTGCCAAAAGTGCACAAACCCAAATAACATACTTGAGTAGATAATTAGAAAGTGACAACAAAAGCATAATCCTGCTGCTCCCAAATAAGATATACTACATCACTCACTCAGCCAAGATCACAATCGGCCACTGAAGCAAGCCACAAATGAATATCAGCATTGACAACCAATCATCATAATCAGAGATCCTTGATCACCCCATGGATTGGCTGCTTAAAAATCAGAAAATTCTTCTGATCAAGACAAACCACACTGGAGTAAGACAAAGTCACAGGTTCAGACGCAGGAACTGAGGAAGAATGTGAACATAAGTTAGCTGAGGTTTGAGACAGATTTGATGAAGATATGGCTCAGGGACAAAAGAAGCACATGATACCAATTAGAGTCTATGGTTGCAGAAAAATAGTAAAAAGAAAGAGAAAACAGAGAATTGAGAGAGAATGATATTTGAGAATAGTTGTTTTGATTGATAAAGAACTTTTGTGGTTCTTGTACATACAGGAGTCGTTACAAGCAGACAGAGAGATGCATTTTCTAACTGACCAACTAATCACTAACTTCCTAATGAACTTTCTAACACACTTGTACATATTCAGTTCAGAATTGTAGTGTTTCTGACACTTCAGCATACAGTACGAATAAACTGAGGTACCATCATAAACTCTATGGCAAGGAATCCCTACTTTCTGGTTTTGTATAAAATGTTCCACTGTTTAAATCACAGAGGAGATATTTGCTTCTTGGAAACTGAAATTTGAAAGAGAAAGGATCTGTGGCACAGTGGCAGATGGAAGCAATTCAAGTACAAATCGATGTGGAATGAAATACACTTAAAGACAACTAAATGAGACAAATGAAATGTCACTGTTTCTGATCCCCCCGAGTATCATCGTCATCTCCTTCCTCACTTTTAACATAAAAAAAAATTTTCTATCCAACCCACCCATATAATGATATCCAGTTTTGCTATACACAGCATATACCACCAACTTCTCTAGTCCAAATAAAACATAAAAGCAGCATCGTCAAAGAAAACAGCAACATTGAAATAGTGTTGAGAGAAAATGTCTATTGAGACTTGCATATTGATCCCTTCTTTATACTATACAAGGGTCAACTTTGAGCCTCTTTTTATCTTGGTTTTAGATGTGCTTGTAGAGCATATCCAAGAGCCAATGTCACAATGCATGAATTTTTGTAGATGATACAGTCCTAGTGTGAGTGTCCAGAGGGGAAATAAAATATAGAGTAGTTGTAGAGAAAAGATTTAGAAACAAATGCTTTCCAATGAAGTAGAGATATGATGGGATATATGGAATGCAAGTTTAGCATGATGCACCAACAATGGAAACAACAATAACAATAATAGCTTTATCCCACTAAGTGACATCAGGCACATAGATCACATGATGCCATTAGTCTCAGTAAGAAACCAAATTCTTGGGAATATTATTCACCATGAGATTCCTTTTGACAATATCATTCAATGTCATTCTTACTCTCCCTCTACCCTTCTTTCACATGGTTAAAAACTACACAATCTACTTTCACTACCTATGCCTCCAGTGCTCTTCTGTGCACTAACAGTAGCAAAAAATAAATTGCACATATAATTTAATTGCAGAGTTATTATACCAAGAACAACCAAACAAGAAAAAAACAAACACATACCAAGGCAAATTGGACATTGAACTTCTTTGCGTATTTCCAGAAGTTCTACAAATACAAATCTGTAAACAAAGCATGAACATAAGCTTTTATTTATATAAACTTAATAGGTAAAAACAAAATTAATATTCAAAATCTGAAATATAAATGATGCATCTATAACTTGTATATAGTCACAAAAAATCAAAAATCTTCACCCACTTGATAGCTAATAGTGAAACAGTAAATTCAGCAGCTTTTTAATAGTTTTTAATGTGTATGAAAAGTAAAAAAACAAAACTAAGGCCTAATAAAGGCAATTCCGATGGCATCGGCAAACAAAAGATGCAGTAGGGGAGCAGTACAAGAATCTAGAAGCTTTTTAATAGTTTAATTATAGTTAATACTAGACATTGGCCACTCCCACTACCTTCCTTGATCATATAAATTCTCTAAAGTTGCTATATGCTTGTAAAAAAAATAATAAAAAAAACTAGCCATAGCCACTTAAAAAGTCAGAAAGGAGAAGAAATAAAGTTTACAAACTGAAGTTGCAGTGTTGCAGATACCTATGGTGTCAATGTTTCATTTGAGATATTTGATTTATTTCCAATTATAAATTATCAGTGAACTTTTACCCTTCCTCGAATAAAAAAACGATGCAATCCTTTGAAGAATGTTAACAATCATGACTAATAAATTCCAGATATTAAATGCATTTTAATAGCAAGTCATTGATGCACACAAACTTTAAATTCAAGAGAACATATATTTGATTCCAACCCAAAAGAAAATGACAACGACACCACTGTTATTTTAATGCAGTTGCATTATAGTACAAAACTGACCTCATTGCAACTAAGAATTCTGAATACTGAAACCTAATTTTAGTTTCAACTTTCAAATATTAATCCTGCCTCCACCACAGCACCATGATATTCCCAATCATTATTTTCAATCTCAACATGCAATACGAAACCCACCCCGCACAATGTAAATTATCAAATACCTTGTGAATGGATCTATGATCTATCCGTTTATTCATTTCATTTTTCTTCGCGAACTAAAACTTTATGTAATAAAGCAATCATGCAGTTTTTTATAGTAAAATCGACGAGAACATGAACTATTCTAGTGATAGTAACCTACGATGCGAACAGGTAATACACAACCCTTATTCAACTACAACCACTTTTCTTTTTATCACCATCCAAAACTTCACGCAAAGCTAACAAATAATATTCAGCTTAAGATACAAAAGCATAGTTCAAATCAAAATCACTTGAATAAGATCTTCAGAGATAATTAATTTAAGCAAAAACACGCTAAAAATCGTGAGATTCGTAGTTAAGACCTAGTACGGAAAAAATAAAAACGAAGGCGTAGCACACGCACAAAGGAGACGAAAATCGAAACATGCAAACGACCGATTACGAATCAAATCGGGCGAATTCGCGAAGGTGCCGAAGCTCGAACGACACGAGATGGATCAAAACGCAACGCCGAAAGGAACAAAAGAGAAAGCAGAAGTTCATTAGTGATGCTTGCGATGCAAGAGAGTGAGAGAGAGTACTCGGATTTTTCTTCGGAGGGAGAGGACGGAGCGTGGCGAGAATCTGAGAAGAGAAAGAAGTGAGGATAAGAATAAGAATAAGAGAGAAGAATCTAGAAGGAGTGACTAGATAAACCTAACCATCTGATTTGTTATCATCATCGTCTTCTTCTCCTTCGTTTTGTTGTGGTTCTTCTTCTTCTTCTTCTTCTTGTGGTTGGTGGTGGTGTTGCTTGGCGTGGCGGTGGTGATCGTGAGGAGTGTCGGGGAAGGAACGCTTCTGAGCGGGCATTGGTGCTGGCAGCGGTGGCTCGCTCTGTGCGTGCGGTGGTGGCAGCGAGAGCGGAGAGGAGGATCGCCAACGCCAAACGGAGAATGAGATTCGCGATTTTGGTTCGACGCCTTTTTCTCTCTCTTTCTATCCTTGCAGCGCGTGATGATGAAGTAGTTAGGTGAATTTTACGTAGACTAACTGATTTTATTCGATTATAATTTACCTTTTTTTAATTTGTATATATATTTTCATGGAATTTTCATTTCACTAATTATTCACAACTTTTAATTACTCACTTACCATTATATAATTTTTATCAATTTTTTTATTGTTTTATTTAAAAAGAGAAAGTGTCTTTTTTTAATTATACATTAATATTGTATATTATGAATTGCAGAGATATAAAAAAATATTTGTATAATTAAAATTTTGTAATAAGTAAAAAAAAATATGAAAATTTATATTATAGTTAAATTTTATAATGAAAAAATAACTATTTTAAATATAAGTTATATTTTAATTTTATAATAAATAATTTAAACTTTTATATAAATTTATAACAATATATATATAATATATTTTCTCTTTTAATCATTTTTTTTCTTCATCTTTTAATGAGATTATTTCATCTTTCACAATTTTCTAAAAAAAGTAAATTAATCAAATTTTTTGTTTTACATTTTAATTTTTTAATTTTCTTAATTACAAGTTACATTTCTATTACAAATGAGAATTTCTCATTATTCACACATAATTGTTTTTCTTACCCTAAAATACAATTACTTTTTTAATAGAAAATAAATAAATACATGCAACTCAACTAGTATTTATAAGGGTATATAATATTAAAAGTTTTCATATAAACGATAATTAATAAGAAAAAATATATATTAATTATAAAATAGTACATGAAATACATGTGTAAAAATAGAAAGAAAAAAGATTAAATGTCTTGTTAAAATAATAGATAAAAGGAAAGTCTTATACTATAAATAAATTGTGTATCATGAGTTATAATTTACAAATATAGGAAAATTTTCCAATTTTTATTTTAAATATGGTGTCTGTAACGATTTGGTAGGTCATCACACTTGTTACTACACAACAAAAATACAACTTACAACATATTTAAAGTGATCATGCAACATATATAAACAACATGTAAGTCATATCTGTATAGGGTAGAATGATAAACTACTAAAAATAAAAACTCTACACCCTGCACAAATATAAATACACTATAAAAATACAAAACAAGATAGACTCTACGATGTTGGTCAACACTTTTACTTAATTTGACTACATTAGAGTAGCCAACAAAACATAGTCATCATCAATGTGATTCACCACCGACTGCACAAGTTGTCTCACTAATCATGTGTTACTCCCATGAAAAATAATAATCATCGCAATTCCAACAACAAGGAAAACACATGATAAGCTTGTGAGAACAAATTTAACATATAATCACAACTTTGATAGCAACTTAACAACCTTTAACTCAACTTATCAACTTTCAATTTAAGGACAACATCATTCAACCACATTTCATCATCTTTTAACACAAAACAATAATTTTATCAAAAACAACTTATATAAATATATCACTCTAATACATTCAACATAAAAACATATATAAATGTATCACTAATGTATCGTCACGCATATCAACTTGTGAAGATCTCCTATAGATGAGATGAATAGTTTAAGTGGTTAGACCTTTTCGAACTAAAATGTGTGACCTATCTCAACCAAGTTAATTAACAACTGAATTTAATTTATTAAGTTTTGTCACTTAAACTATAAAGTATAGTACTACTATTAGGGTAGAACGGTTTGATTATGAGTTTATCACGACATTAGACTACACTAAACTACCTATGGGATTAGCCCACCGCCTACCCCCTAAATACTATGCCCTTTTGATACTTAGTTAAGGACTATGTCCCAGACTTTATACTTTACTCAATTGGTCGATTTATACACATTTGATTTGACTTGACCTCCATACAAATCCTTCATAAATCCTAGAGGAGACAACATACAGCTTGTCGTTCAATAGTCAATTGACTTACTAAAGGTTTTTCAATGCTTGGCTCTTAAAGTACTACATTTCATATCCATACAATGGGATAATTAGTTTTTGAAGTCATCACTTACTCACCTCTAATTTTTATGTATCTTAAATAAACATATATCTCAACCACATGCTTAACAACTTAGCAACTTTACAACTTAACAACATACAACTTCACAACTTAATTATCTTTTAACTTACAACTTAACATCATAACTCATCATAAATAAATCAACTTATTCATAAATCATCTTATATCTTAGCAACATATTCATCATCATGTAATATAGTCATTTACAACTTAGTAATATATATATATATATATATTA